TATTTTCCATCAAAAATGGATTTTTATATGAAAAACCTAAAATCGGCTGTAGATTCTTAAGTAACGCTCCAATTAAGAAAATAATGAAAATCTGTGATCATTCATATTTTCCATCAAAAATGGATTTTTATATGAAAAACCTAAAATCGGCTGTAGATTCTTAAATAACGCTCCAATTGAGTAAATAGTGAAAATCTGTGATCATTCATATTTTCCATCAAAAATGGATTTTTATATGAAAAACTAAAATCGTCTATAGATCCTTAATTAACGTTCCAATTGAGTAAATAGTGAAAATCTGTGATTAATTATATTTTCCATCAAAAATGGATTTTTATATGAAAAACCTAAAATCGGCTGTAGATCCTTTAATAACGCTCCAATTGAGAAAATAGTAAAAATCTGTGATCATTCATATTTTCCATCAAAAATGGATTTTTATATGAAAAATCTAAAATCGGCTGTAGATTCTTAAATAACGCTCCAATTGAGTAAATAGTGAAAATCTGTGATCATTCATATTTTCCATCAAAAATGGATTTTTATATGAAAAACCTAAAATCGGCTGTAGATTCTTAAATAATGCTCCAATTGAGAAAATAGTAAAAATCTATGATCATTCATATTTTCCATCAAAAATGGACTTTTATATGAAAAACCTAAAATAGGCTGTAGATCCTTTAATAACGCTCCAATTGAAAAAATAGTGAAAATCTGTGATCATTCATATTTTCCATCAAAAATGGATTTTTATATGAAAAACCTAAAATCGGCTGTAGATCCTTTAATAACGCTCCAATTGAGAAAATAGTGAAAATCTGTGATCATTCATATTTTCCATCGAAAATGGATTTTTATAGGAAAAACCTAAAATCGGCTGTAGATTCTTAATTAACGCTCCAATTGAGTAAACAGTGAAAATCTGTGATCATTCATATACTATTTACTCATACGCTCCAATTGAGTAAATAGTGAAAATCTGTGATCATTCATATTTTCCATCAAAAATGGATTTTTATATGAAAAACCTAAAATCGGCTGTAAATCCTTTAATAACGCTCCAATTGAGAAAATAGTGAAAATCTGTGATCATTCATATTTTCCATCAAAAATGGATTTTTATAGGAAAAACCTAAAATCAGCTGTAGATCGTTAAATAACGTTCCAATTAAGTAAATAGTGAAAATCTGTGATCATTAATTTTTTCCATCTAAAATGGATTTTTATATGAAAAACCTAAAATCGGCTGTAGATTCTTAAGTAACGCTCCAATTAAGAAAATAATGAAAATCTGTGATCATTCATATTTTCCATCAAAAATGGATTTTTATATGAAAAATCTAAAATCGGCTGTAGATCCTGAAATAACGCTCCAATTGAGTAAATAGTGAAAATCTGTGATCACTCATAGTTTTCATCACAAATGGATTTTTATATGAAAACCTAAAATCGTTCATATTTTCCATCAAAAATGGATTTTTATATGAAAAACCTAAAATCGGCTGTAGATCCTTTTATAACGCTCCAATTGAGAAAATAGTGAAAATTTGTGATTATTCATATTTTCCATCAAAAATGGATTTTTATATGAAAAACCTAAAATAGGCTGTAGATCCTTAAATAACGCTCCAATTGAGTAAATAGTGAAAATCTGTGCTCATTCATATTTTCCATCAAAAATGGATTTTTATATGAAAAACCTAAAATCGGCTGTAGATCGTTAAATAACGCTCCAATTAAGTAAATAGTGAAAATCTGTGATCATTCATATTTTTCATCAGAAATAGATTTTTATATGAAAAACCTAAAATCGGCTGTAGATCCTTTAATAACGCTCCAATTGAGTAAATAGTGAAAAACTGTGATCATTCATATTTTCCATCAAAAATGGATTTTTATACGAAAAACCTAAAATCAGCTGTAGATCCTTAAATAACGCTCAAATTGAGTAAATAGTGAAAATCTGTGATCATTCATATTTTCCATCAAAAATGGATTTTTATATGAAAAACCTAAAATCGGCTGTAGATCCTTAAATAACGCTCCAATAGTAAATAGTGAAAATCTGTGGTCATTCATATTTTCCATCACAAATGGATTTTTATATGAAATCCTAAAATCGTTGATATTTTCCATCAAAAATTGATTTTTATATGAAAAACCTAAAATCGGCTGTAGATTGTTAAATAACGCTCCAATTGAGTAAATAGTGAAAATCTGTGATCATACATAGTTTTCATCACAAATGGATTTTTATATGAAAACCTAAAATCGTTCATATTTTCCATCAAAAATGGATTTTTATATGAAAAACCTAAAATCGGCTGTAGATCCTTTAATAACGCTCCAATTGAGAAAATAGTGAAAATCTGTGATCATTCATATTTTCCATCAAAAATGGATTTTTATAGGAAAAACCTAAAATCAGCTGTAGATCGTTAAATAACGCTCCAATTAAGTAAATAGTGAAAATCTGTGATCATTAATTTTTTCCATCTAAAATGGATTTTTATATGAAAAACCTAAAATCGGCTGTAGATTCTTAATTAACGCTCCAATTGAGTAAACAGTGAAAATCTGTGATCATTCATATTTTCCATCAAAAATGGATTTTTATATGAAAAATCTAAAATCGTCTATAGATCCTTAAATAACGTTCCAATTGAGTAAATAGTGAAAATCTGCGATCAATTATATTTTCCATCAAAAATGGATTTTTATATGAAAAACCTAAAATCGGCTGTAGATTCTTAATTAACGCTCCAATTGAGTAAACAGTGAAAATCTGTGATCATTCATATTTTCCATCAAAAATGGATTTTTATATGGAAAACCTAAAATCGGCTGTAGATCACTAAATAACGCTCCAATTGAGTAAATAGTAGAAATCTGTGATCATTCATATTTTCCATCAAAAATGGATTTTTATAGGAAAAACCTAAAATCAGCTGTAGATCGTTAAATAACGCTCCAATTAAGTAAATAGTGAAAATCTGTGATCATTCATATTTTCCATCAAAAATGCATTTTTATATAAAAAAACCTAAAATCGGCTTTAGATCCCTAAATAGTGCTAAAATTGAGTAAATAGTGAAAATCTGTGATCATTTATATTTTCCATCAAAAAAGGATTTTTATATGAAAAACCTAAAATGGGCTGTAGATCCTTAAATAACGCTCCAATTGAGTAAATAGTGAAAATCTGTGATCATTTATATTTTCCATCAAAAAAGGATTTTTATATGAAAAACCTAAAATCGGCTGTAGATCCTTTAATAACGCTCTAATTGAGTAAATAGTGAAAAACTGTGATCACTCATTTTTTCCATCAAAAATGGATTTTTATACGAAAAACCTAAAATCAGCTGTAGATCGTTAAATAACGCTCCAATTGAGTAAATAGTGAAAATCTGTGATCATTCATTTTTTCCATCTAAAATGGATTTTTATATGAAAAACCTAAAATCGGCTGTAGGTTCTTAATTAACACTCCAATTGAGTAAACAGTGGAAATCTGTGATCATTCATATTTTCCATCAAAAATGGATTTTTACATGATAAATCTAAAATCGGCTGTAGTTCCTTAAATAACGCTCCAATTGAGTAAATAGTGAAAATCTGTGATCATTCACATTTTCCATCAAAAATGGATTTTTATATGAAAAACCTAAAATCGACTGTGGGTTGTTAAATAACGCTCCAATTGAGTAAATAGGGAAAATCTGTGATCATTCATATTTTCCATTAAAAATGCATTTTTATATGAAAAACCTAAAAATCGGCTGTATATTGTTAAATAACGCTCCAATTGAGTAAATAGGGAAAATCTGTGATCACTCATATTTTCCATCAAAAATTGGTTTTTATATGAAGAACCTAAATTCGGCTGTAGATCCTTAAATAACGGTCCAATTGAGAACATAGTGAAAATCTGTGATCATTCATATTTTCCATATAAAATGGATTTTTGTATGAAAAATCTAAAATCGGCTGTAGATCCCTAAATAACGCTCCAATTAAGAAAACAGTTAAAATCTGTGATCATTCATATTTTTCATCAAAAATGGATTTTTATATAAAAAACTTAAAATCGGCTGTAGATTCTTAAATAACACTCCAATAAAGTAAATTGTGAAAATCTGTGATCATTCATATTTTCCATCAAAAATGCATTTTTATATGAAAATCCTAAAATCGGCTGTAGATCCTTTAATAACGCTCCAATTGAGTAAATAGTGAAAATCTGTGATCATTCATATTTTCCATAAAAAATGGATTTTTATATTAAAAATTTAAAATGGGCTGTAGATCCTTAAATTGAGTAAATAGTGAAAATCTGTGATCATTCATATTTTCCATCAAAAATGTATTTTTATATGAAAAATCTAAAACCGGCTGTAAATCCTTAGATAACGCTTCAATTAAGAAAACAATGAAAATCTGTGATGATTTATATTTTCCATCAAAAATTTTTTTTTATATGAAAATCCTAAAATCGGCTGTAGATCCTTAAATAACGCTCCAATTGAGTAAATAGTGAAAATCTGTGATCATTCATATTTGCCATCAAAAATGGATTTTTATATGAAAAATCTAAAATCGTCTATAGATCCTTAAATAACGTTCCAATTGAGTAAATAGTGAACAACTGTGATCACTCATCTAAAATGTGCTGTAGATCGTTAAATAACGCTCCAATAAATAACTTTTGTTTAAGACATTCCAAATAGATTAATGAAACTTATACTTTATCTTTTCTGATTTCAATTCATCCATGAAATCCTCACCAATTAAAATGAAACACTTAGTCACTACACTGCATACAGTATTTAATGCAATAAATTCCAATTAATATTTAACAACTGTAATTCAAATCCTCCTGCAAACAAAACAAAAACGATCGTACAATCTATGTCAAAGTTATTCGTTTACGAATATAGAACTGAGAAATATATTAAATGTAATGGTGTGATAGAATGCCATCAATGTCTTGCAGTAAACATAAATGAGCAACAAGATCAACTAAACAGCCGATCAAACAACCATCATCGATCCATCTACTACAACAACACAACAAACAATTGCTGTTATTATAACCAAAGAGCGGGTGATTTTAAGATCATAGCTGCTGTTCGTAGTGAGTATTGAATTTAATTCTTGAGAAAAACCTGTCATAAGCATATTTTACGAGTAATTGCAACTGCAAAACGTGTATGATACTGGCCACTGCGCATTTTGATCCTTAATGCATTTGTGTAGTTGCAGATTTATGGAATGGATTTTGAAAGAAACGCAAGAACCTTATATGGCATGTGGAATGATGAAGTAATGATTATAAACAATCTTTGGTACATAATATTCAACCAACTCCACCGCAAGCCTTGTTCAAATACAATTCACAGAAGTTCGAAATAAAGAAGAAGTTGATGAAAATAAAGCAACAGAATATGATGAAGATGATGATGACGCTAAAGTTGAAAAAAAGAGTTTTTATTGCAACCAAAAGCAACTGTGTGAATTCTTTCGGTTTTCAATGAACGTGTTTAAAATTTAGATGAGTTTCTTTTGTTGTTGTCTTCTTTGGTTGGATTTTGTGTATTCGTAACAATACAAAAATGACATTTATAATGTCATAAAAGTTTTGTTTTGTTTTGTTTATCTTTTTAAGTTAATTATCTGCTATTAATAAGAAGTAATGAAATGTTTGCACAAAAATTACAATTTAATTTCTTTAACATTTTTTGTGGAATTTCTTCTTCTTTTTTGTTTCGGCCTGTTCAGCCATTAAAATATTTATTACCTTAAAAATTTAAATCATCGCTTTTTGTTTTGATTATTATTTTTTTTAATTTCTGTTTAATATTGTCCCCAATTTTTTATTCATTTCCATTTTATCTTTTCATACGTTTTTTTTTTTTTTGCGAAAAAAAAACACATGTTAACAACATGTGTGATTTTTATTAAATTCAGTCGGACGCAATTGTTTAAATAGACAGACTTACGCTTAAAGTACTTTTTCAGACATTTAACGTTATTTTTTTTTTTCGATTCTTTGCCATACATTTCGATTTTGTTTTGTGAACTACATAAATATTTAATTTTTTTATTGGAATCACATATTTGCTTGTGATTTGGTACCCTATAGTAGATCAGAGTAGCAATGGGACACAATTTATTTAAAAATGGATGTGGATCTAGAAATGCAAAATGGATTTTTATATAAAAAAACCCAAAATGACTACAGATCCTCAAATAATGTTCCATGATGTCCCCACATACTCAGCGCAGTAAACATTACTTATCTTTGTCCAATGGATCTAATTGAAGTAGTGCAAATTAGAACTCGATGCAATACTCTCGGATTAGATTATTGAACAACAACAGCAATGTTTTGTAGGAGAGAATTCGCTATAAATGTCCAAAAAACATTAGACATCAGAAAGTTGATCTTATTGGACATCTATGCCAGACTTACTTTAGCATTAGTTTTACTAAACCGTAAACAGTGTTGCATTTAAGTCTATGGTCTCAACTACAACTTCTTCGATATCGTGTGTTATCACCGTCCCAGTTCGGACAACATTTTTTTCATATTTTAAAGTAAGTTATAGCAAAATAATTGTCGAATACCTTTGGTATATGTGGAGACATCGAACAGTTAAGAATGAATTGGCAACAAAATAAAAAATCGGTTGGGTCACCATTATAACAACTTGAATTCTCGAAATACCCAGTACTTTAGCATAAAAAGGATTTTAGCTCTTTGTCCTTTGTGATAATTTCCTTTTCGCATGAAATTAAGATTTTAAAGATAATTTTACTGGGGACTGTCAGAACTTATGTCTCTTCGGGATCATGTTACCTTGGTGAAATCTCCATGTTAGTGTTATTGCAATATCCCAGGGAAAATACCTCTAGTCTGCCGGGACTATAAACTGGTGATGATCAAATGTATCCTCGGCCTTTCCTTGGAATGATTTGACATGGGATCGAACCACAGCACCATATAATGAATAGGAATAGTCTTGGCTGGTCAGTTGGTTGAGTTTCCTTCCGGATCCACGTAGTGGCTGTAGTTTAAACCCAAATTCACGGGGAGAGAATGTTGGTTTAAGGACTGATATATCCAAATGCCATATATGTATGTCTGGATTCTCTGTCCGGTGCTGTTGCCATTTCAACAGATGTCACTGGGTATGTTGGATTCCTGGGCCCGCCAGTATAGGTTGGGTAATTTTCAGGTTGACACTTGGTAATTGCGAGGCATTCCGTAGATCATTCTTTATGGTCTAAGAATGGAACTGATGTAATAGGTGAACTATCGGGAAAGTATCCTCTGTCCGACAGGAGACAAGTATTGATTTAGTAGATATTTTACTTCAGTTAAGTTCTCGATGCTGTTGCCATCTCAACAGTATGTTTCATGCTACGCGACTTATGGTTGAGGCCTTCTACTCAACTTGTCGGGGCAATTATTGGGTTCGAATTGACTTTGGAAATTCCCACATCCTGATCCAGATTTATTTATTTAGTTCGGACTACCAAATACGTCTCTAAGTGCTGTTGCCTTATAAGGTTAAGGAACGCACTGAAATGGTTCATTAATTAATGGAGATTGCAAATAATGACATCATAAGGGTTGACACCTTCCGGTATACCGGAAGATTGATTTCACCAGATGTTGGGGTAGTTGCATTGTCCCATGCTGCCTGTCATTCCGCAACGGGCCTACTATGGCAAGAGATTAGATACCTCGAGTACTTCTGCAAAGTGCTTGTACATGGACCGCCACATCCATGTACAAAAATTACCACCAGAGTTCTTCATAGAAGGATTCAGGGACGCGTGGTTGGCCGTCTCAAGTCTACCCAGTGTATGAAAAAAGCCAGCGTGAAATAAAGCCGTCAAGGCACGATAAGCACTTAGATATCTTACCAGAACTTATGTGTTACACAAGTAATAACTATCACCTTCCATGTTGACTACCTCGATCTTACTTCTTTTATAATCCGTAGAATTTCCGAAACATGTCGCTAACGGATCTAAACTAATATGTTAGAAGTATAGCTTTATTATTATGAAATTCTCAAGATTTACTTGGATTTAAGAGTAAACATTTAAAGACATTGACCAAAGGACCTCTCTTAACATCTGTTGACAACATATTATGCAAATGTAAAGTTTTCGAAGACTATATTTCCTATTATTTTTAGTTTTCGTGAGATATTAAAAACGGACATTTTGTTGTTGGTTTTATTATCAAATATTGTAGCTTTTCTCATAGTCGTGCTTTACCGACTTTCAATCACTTGTGTTTAGTGTATTGTCGCAGTTTCATATGACTACTATTAACTAATTTTTTTTGTTCTTTTTGCCGTTTTTTAATTTTTTCATTATTTTTTTTTTTTTTGCAATTGACTTTTGGGTTAATTGTCTCTATTAAAAAGTATTATTTTTTTCCATTTCTACGAATAAAATATTTATGTTTTTTATAATAGAAATATTGCTGAATGGTTTCAAATCGGCAGATTTTTTTTTCTGTGCAAAATTCTCTTTATCATTGTTGTCGCTGGTAGAGTTTTGTATAGTTGTCTTAGAAAAAACATTAGAAAAAAGCGTGTGACAAATATTAATTAACAACAATTAAGCTTATTTGACACAAATAGTTAATGGTTTTATTTATGAATTATTCATTCATAGATAAGTAAATAGTAGACAAAATTTTACAATTTTTTTTTTACAATCTTGGTTTTTATTTCGTGCTAGTGCTTTCCTAAATTGTTTTAATTCTGTTTTTACGATTGTTCTCCAAAAATTGTATCTTTAATAGAAATCTTGTTGAATTCTTTGGAATAATAATTCCATCATAATCATTGTATCCATTTATTAATTTATATTTAATTGAAAACAATCTATCATATTGTTTATTTGTTGTTTGTTGCTAAAGCTTTAAAATTTATATTTATTTTTTGTCCCTCTAAAGTATGCTACATAAATGTCTATATATTAACTCCCCACCTCAGGCAATTGTTTTTTTCCTTTTACTATTTATAGTAGCTGCATTTTGAAAAAATTTCTATTTAACCATATTTGTAGCTGAAAAATTCAATGTTAATTATTTCCATGTTTTTGGTTTAATTTCTTTTTTTTTTTTTTTTCATAATGAAATATTCGTTAGCTAACCATCTCTATATTTATACGAATTTCCACATCGTGCCTGAAACAAGCCTGCCTTATATGTATCTCAAACAATTTGTCCATTTTATTTCTTTTTATATTTTGTCTACCATTTGTTGGTGCAATACGTTTATTTATGATTAAATATCTATATCTATAGGAAAATATTCTTTATTTTCTTTTTAATCGTATCTGTTTTTGGCTTTAAACTGCATTTTCTAACTATTGAGATTTTTTTGTATTATTTACTATTTGAAATCATATTTGGTATTATTAAATGTTTGTTTTTAAATAGAAAACAATCCTCATAGACGACCAGACCAGATATGACAGACAGACAGCTAAACGACAAAAAATGTAATAGAAAAAAAGGCAACATCTCTTGTTGTTTGGTATGTGCAATTTTACCAAAAAAACATTGTTGTTTTAACCAAAGATGGTTAAGATTTCTAAGGAAATTTTTTTTAGAGAATTCAGTCTATGTGGAGGTTAAAAATAGATGCAACTGAAAATGTTTTCTTGTGTAAACATTGAACGGATTTCGTGGTAGAAAGCAGGAGAGAATTGTGGTTGTTTTGATAGGTTGGGCAAAGATTTAAAGGCTATGGACCATATATTTTCTGCTCTAGAACCGTTGATAATCGTAACTATAGTCAAAACTATAGACTGGTCTTTAGTCAAGACTAATGAATGATCCATTCTCTAGTATATAGTCTGGGTCATAGATAGGTAGACCATAGACTGTCCAGACAAATAAATAGTCTGGTCTATGGTCCAGTCTATAGGTCGGTCTATAGTCGAGAATATAGTAGTCTACAGTTTAGACTACTCTATTATCCAGACTGGCCTATAGTCCATACTAATCTATAGCTCAGACTATAGACTAGTCTATAGACCAAACTTAAGACTAAGCTATAGTCCGTACTACAGACTAAGACTACAGACTGATTTATAGTCCAGACTATAGAATGATTTATAGTCCTGACTATAGAATGATTTATAGTCCAGACTATAGACTAATCTATAGTCCAGACCATAGACTAATTTATAGTCCAGACTATAGACTAATCTCTAATCCAAACTATAGGCTGATTTATAATCCAGTCTATAGACTGATTTATAGTCCAGTTTATAGACCGATCTATAGTCCAGAATATAAACTATACCAGACTACCAGACTACAGACTGATCTATAGTCTAGACTACAAACTTATCTGTAGTCCAGATTATAGACCGATCTACAGTCCAGACTATAAACATATCTATAGTCCTGATAGACTGATCAATAGTCCAGACAACATGACTAATCTATAGTCCATAGGCTGATCTATAGTACAGACTATAGACTGATCTATAGTTCAGACCTTAGTCTGGTATACAGTCCAGACTATAGACTGATCTATAGTGCAGACTATAGACTTATCTATAGTCCAGACTATAAACTCTTCAATACTACAGACTATAG